TTTTGGGCTGTACCTCCGGGTAGACGCCGATCAGGCTCTGCGCCTTGGTGTAGAATTCCTCCTTGAGGGAGATGACGATGGCCTGGAAGTTGGCGGCCGACTGCTCCTTGATGTAATTGGCCACCTGGGCACCCCGAAACCGGATTGGCACCCCGAAAATGGACTTGGCACCCCAAAAAAACACGCTTGGCACCCCAAAAACGTGCTTGGCACCCCAAAAAATCAACTTGGCACCCCAAAAACCGCGCTTGGCACCCCAAAAAAACACGCTTGGCACCCCAAAAACGTGCTTGGCACCCCAAAAAATCAACTTGGCACCCCAAAAACCGACTTGGCACCTCAAAAAACACACTTGGCACCCCAAAAAATGTGCTTGGCACCCCAAAAACCCAGCTTGGCACCCCAAAAATGGACTTGGAAACCCAAAAAATAGACTTGGCACCCCAAAACCCGGCTTGGCACCCCAAAAAACCGACTTGGCACCCCAAAAAAACACGCTTGGCACCCCAAAAATGGACTTGACACCCCAAAAAATGTGCTCAGCACACCAAAAACCCAGCTTGGCACCCCAAAAATGGACTTGGAACCCCAAAAACCGCACTTGGCTGGCACCCCAAAACCCGGCTTGGCACCCCAAAAAACCGACTTGGAACCCCAAAAAATGGACTTAGCACCCCAAAAACGTTGGCACCCCAAAACCCGGCTTGGCACCCCAAAAATGGACTTGGAACCCCAAAAACCGCACTTGGCACCCCAAAAAATCAACTTGGCATCCTAAAAACTGCGCTTGGCACCCCAAAACTGGACTTGGAAGCCCAAAAAATAGACTTGGCACCCCAAAACCCGGCTTGGCACCCCAAAAAACCGACTTGGAACCCCAAAAAATGGACTTAGCACCCCAAAAACGTGCTTGGCACCCCAAAAAACTGACTTGGCACCCCAAAAAATGCGCTTAGCGCCCAAAGAAAACAGCTTGGCACCCCAAAAATGGACTTGGAACCCCAAAAAATAGACGTGGCACCCCAAAAAAACGGTTTGGCACCCCAAAAAATAGACTTAGCACCCCAAAAACGTGCTTGGCACCCCAAAAAATGGAACTAAAAGCTAAAAAACCCGTGGCACCCCAAAAAATGGACCTGGCACCCCTAAAAATGGACCTTAAACCTCAAAAAACTGACCTGGCACCCCAAAAATGCACATGGCACCCCAAAAAATGGACCTAGAAACTAAAAAAACCCATGTGGCACCCCAAAAAATGCACCTGGAACCCCAAAAAACAAGTTTGACACCCCAGAAAAACCCCCTGGCACCCCAAAATCTGCCTTGGCACCCCAAAAATGGATCGGGAGTGCCAAAAAGGGGACCGGGGACCCCAAAAACCACATGGGGACCCCAAAAATGGGGTGGGGATCCCCAAATTTGGGGCTGGGGACAGAAAAATCAGCTCAGTGAGGGGGAAAAGGAGGTTGGGGTGACCCCAAAATCCCGGGGGGAGCCCCAAAATGGGGAGGGGACCCCAAAAATGAGGAGGGGACCCCAAAAGCGGGGAGAGGACCCCCAAAATTGGGGTGGGGAACCCCAAAATTGGGAGCTGGGGGGACAAAATCCCTCCCTGGGGAGCAGAAATGGGGCTGGGGGAGGTTGGGGCGACACCCCCAGACCCCAAAACTTTACAGGGGGAGCCCCAAAAATGGGGAGGGGCCCCCCAAAAATGGATGTGTGACCCCAAAATTGGGGTGGGGAACCCCAAAATGGGGAGGGCACCCCAAAAATGGGGGGTGGGGGCAGAAAAATCAGCTCAGTGAGGGGGAAAAGGAGGTTGGGGTGACCCCAAAATCCCGGGGGGAGCCCCAAGATGGGGAGGGGATCCCGAAAAGAGGAGGGGACCCCCCAAAAGCGGGGAGGGGCCCCCCAAATTCCCACCTTGCCGATGTTGGTGTTGTCCAGCGCGGCGTCGATCTCGTCCAGCACGAAGAACGGCGCGGGTTTGTAACTGGGGGGGCACAGGGGGTGAGACCCCAAAACCGGGCACCCCAAAACTGGGCACCCCAAAACTGGGCACCCCAAAACGGGGAACCCCAAACTGGGTGAGACCCCAAAACCTGGGATCCCCAAAACGATGGGGAGGGGATCCCGAAAAGAGGAGGGGACCCCCCAAAAACGGGAGGGGCCCCCCAAATTCCCACCTTGCCGATGTTGGTGTTGTCCAGCGCGGCGTCGATCTCGTCCAGCACGAAGAACGGCGCGGGTTTGTAACTGGGGGGGCACAGGGGGTGAGACCCCAAAACCGGGCACCCCAAAACTGGGCACCCCAAAACTGGGCACCCCAAAACGGGGAACCCCAAACTGGGTGAGACCCCAAAACCTGGGATCCCCAAAACCGGGCACCCCAAAACTGGGCACCCCAAAACTGGGCACCCCAAAACGGGGAACCCCAAACTGGGTGAGACCCCAAAAAAACGGGCACCCCAAAAATGGGGAACCCCAAAAACGGGGAACCCCGAACTGGGTGAGACCCCAAAACCAGGAACCCCAAAAACGTGAAACCCCAAAACTGGGGAATCCCAAAAGTGAGTGAGACCCCAAAACGGGGATCCCCAAAAACGGGGCACCCCAAAAACAGGGAATCCCAAAACTGGGGAACCCCAAACTGGGGAACCCCGAAAACAAGGAACCCCAAAAACGGGGAATCCCAAACTGGGTGACCCCAAAACTGGGGAACCCCAAAACTGGGCTGAGAATCCAAAACTGGACCCCAAAACTGGGGTACCCCAAAAGGAGCCAGCCCTGGTTTTGGGGTCCCCCCTGGGTTTTTGGGATTTCCCCCAGATTTTTGGGATTTCCCTCGGGAGTTTGAGATTTCCCCAGGGATTTTTGGGGTCCCCCCGGGGGGTTTTGGGGTCCCACCTGTGGATGGCGAAGAGCAGCCAAAGTGGGGGATTTTTGGGGAGATCTCCTGGGGTTTTTGAGATTTCCATTGCAGTTTTTGGGATTTTCCCCAAATTTTTGAGATTTCCCATGGGGTTTTTGGGATTTCCCATGGGGTTTTTGGAGATCCCCTGAATTTTGGGGTCCCCCCCGGGGGATTTTGGGGTCCCACCTGTGGATGGCGAAGAGCAGGGCCAGGGCAGCCTTTTCAAGGGAGCTCCCCTGAAATTTTTGGGATTTTTCCCAGGATTTTCGGATTTCCCATGGGGTTTTTGGGATTTTTCCCAAGATTTTGGGATTTCCCCTGGGGATTTTTGGGGTCCCCCAGAGTTTTTGGGGTTCCCTGGGTGTTTTTGGGGTCCCACCTGTGGATGGCCAAGAGCAGGGCCAGCGCAGCCAAAGGGGGGGAATTTTGGGATTTCCCATGGGGTTTTTGGGATTTCTCTCGGGATTTTGGGATTTCCCCCAGATTTTTGGGATTTCCCCTGGGGATTTTGGGGTCCCCCCGGGTTTTGGGGTCCTCCCGGGGGATTTTGGGGTCCCACCTGTGGATGGCGAAGAGCAGGGCCAGCGCAGCCACGGTTTTCTCCCCCCCTGACAGGTTGTCCATGGGCCGGAAACGCTTCCCGGGGGCCACACAGTTGTAATTGATCCCGTCCAGGTACGGCTCCTCGGGGTTCTCCGGTCCCAAAAATGCCTGAGGGGACAGTGGGGACATTGAGGGGACACTGGGGACATCACTGGGGACATTGGGG